TTTTTTTTTCAAACCTAGTCTGTGGGGTAAAACGCCCCCAGGGGGCACAGCATAATTTCTGTAGTTATTGATTATATTCTTTTTAATTTTAAGCTAAAACTGCCTGTACTCAGATTTTGCTGTAAATGTATAAAGCAAATTGCTTTGTCAGACTGGGGGCATTTTACCCCACCTGTGGGGCAAAATGCCCCCTTGGTACACATGTTTAAGATCTAATAACTTGAAAACTCTATAGACATTTGTCATACTTAGTTTATGTCATTATTCTGGACACATTTAACTTTTGTTTCACAGAAAAAAAATTACGTTCTCCCCCACTCTACCCTATAATATTTTGTCTCAGTAGTTCTGACATAATTTTGAACTGGTAACTATTTACTGAAGACAAGTAGGACAGGAAGAAGTGGAGGATAGAAGAAATGTCAATGACTCCATGGACACAAGACACGCTCTTCTGACCATATGACTTTTCACCATAAGCATTTTCACTTTCACAGCGAGGACAGAAACTTTACACTGGAAATTGGTTGTGTCAACACCCAGAGTTATACATCTTTAACCTCCACGAATCCACAGAAAGCCCTCGGTGCAATGATTTGCTGAGTGCAAGGTCAGCTGCTATCCAGCCACCCTGCTGTAAGAAGGTTCAGAAGTCTTTCCTCAGGCACAACACAAGTGCTGACTAAGAACGCTTGGTGAAACAGATCAACTTGTCATTCTCTACATTGAGCTACTTTGCTTTCCCATGGGACATCTCACGACGCTTCTGAATGCTGCTGGTTTTGAGTCATTTCTGAAGATACTTTAGCGAAACGTTAGCATTTTATGTGTGTTTGTTTTTTTTGACTGAGCTTTGAGATTTTCCCTTTAAATGTGTCTCTTTACTTGTAAAACAGAGCATTTACTGCGTACTAAAGGAGAAAATTCAATTTTATAAAAACACTCTATGCAAGTCCAAACACTTGTAGCTAATGCAATGCAAACTTTTGCATCAATGCAAGCTTGAGTTGTATATAAAGCATTACATTTTCATTGTTGACTCAAGGAATGGTATAGCAAGCATTAGTTAAACTGTCAACATGTTTACAGCTAAATGAACAAAAACCCACGTAGTTTAACAGCACAAAGATAATAGTGGAGGTATCTCTATCTACTCTACATACTCCATCACAATATTGCAACTCATATGATAGAGCGGGGGGGGGGGGGGGATTCCGCGCCAAAAAGGGGGAATTCCAGGCCAAAATATATTTCAAATGTCTGCTAAATATATGCTTTAAATGGCATGGCTTAAAGAAACATATTAATTAAATACAGTTTGTTGAAATCTTGAATCTGTATTCTGAATAAAATAAATATATTTAGATTGGAAATATATTACATTTAAAACTTCAAATATTAAAATATATTAAACAATTACAATTTCCCATCGTAAAATGCATATTTTAATAAAATATATTTTGGACAATATAAATAAATTTAAATTTCAAAATATATACTAGCAATATATTTGGCCATTTTTGTATATTTTAAATAGATTTTCATCATTTTTATATATATTTAAA